CTGGGTTGTGTGTGAGACATTTTGCCAGGTTGGAGATCCAGGGCAAATTGAATGCCTCTGCAGCTGAATGCTGAGTGTGTGTAAAGGCAAGCAGGAATCCTGTTGTATGTATTTAAAATGTGAGATGCACAGGAAGTCTGCAAATGGCTTGATATTCATAAAGAGCAAAAACAAGTTCAGATGCTGCAGACTGGGATGTTACAATTTTTATACAGTAAGGATCTTTTGCCTTTGTTTTGTGAATGACCTTCTCAGTTTTGGAGTCCCTCTCTGTTCTTCTCTCTAGGCTATTTTTTTGGTGTTAATTAAAGCCCAGATTAAGTATATAAAAGCGTACTCAAGCACACCCAGCTGAAAACAGGGCTAAATGAACAGAAACATGCTAGCAGAGATGTGAGCTTTGTCACTGGAGTAGAATGAGTGAATATGAAAGTCATTATTGGGAAGCAAAGTGACATTTAAATTATGCTGCTGTTTCTCCTCCTGGCTTCTGACAAGGTTTTTCAGAGAGAAAATTAAATGAGTTACAAGACATTTAAGTGCCACGCTTGAAAATGGTATCTTAATGTGTTTGATTATTAAATGAAATGTTAGCCCCATGATTTTACCATGAAAGTGGCATGTAAAACTGATATGGTACCTTCTCAAATCTTTAATGTACTAACTGGCATCTTTTAAATGCTGGTTTTGTGCCATTTCTGTTGTACCCACACAATAGAATTAGTCATGTGGAGAGGGAAACAGCTGGCAAAAAAAAATGCATAAGCAGCCAGCTTAGCATTGTCATAGGTAAAAGACAGCAATAAATCACAGACAAGTGCAAAACTATCAGGGAAAAAAAGCCAGTAATAAAGGTGATTCAACTGTAATGTCAGGCCCTCTGAAGGAAGTGTTCTGCAGATGGATAGAGAAGTGAAGAAGAAATGGCTTCAGACAGGTGAAGACCAATTTTTGCTGTTGAAAAGAAAGCTTTATCCTTCTTGTCTGAGGCCCCAGTTTAAAAAGGGTATTTATCTACGGGGTTAACTTCATCAGCTCTACTAACTGCACTCCAGTGAGAGATAAGAAGATAATTAAAATTACCGCCATGCTTAATCAACTTGCCAGCATAGGGATACTCTCTTGAATTGGGGCACAATTAAATTAAGCTTAACTTCTTCCAAATATATGCAAGAAGTAGACATCTGGCAAAGTCTAGCTGAAAAAGCACAGAGCTGCATTATGACAATCTCCAAGGACAAAGGAAATGGAAAGTGAAAGGGTATCAGAGAGCAAGACTTCTGCCAAGTCCTTCAATATTTGTTTTGCAATGCAGACTACCAATCACAAAAAATACTAAACTACTGATTTCACTCATTTATTGCTAAATCATTCAACTAGTGATTTCACTAATTTACCCATAGCATACATAGGTATGAAAACATATGCATGTATGCTAATGTACCTTATTTTAGAATGTTTCAGTAAGCATCTCTAACTGTTGTTTCAAAACAATTTACAACTGCAATTAAAGGGTCTGAAAGTGATATAAAAGGAAGCAGACTAATTGAGCTAATCACAGACAAGATCAAGGCCCTCTGGCCTTGAAATCTATAGCTCCATGAAAAGAAGTCTTTGAATATTTGCTGAATCTAGGGATATTAATAATCAGCAGTTACAGTTCTGTCCATTTACAAGAGGCATCAAAGAATTAATTTTTACAATATGCCTGGAAGGTAAACTGCAGAATCTCTATTAATTTTACGAAACAGAAAGTCAAGAGGACAGTCAGAACTAATCAGAGCCAGATTATATGTTGCAAATTTCTGTTTCCTAATCTTGTATGAGAATATCTCTGGGCATTTGCTAAAAGCTCATTGAAGATGAAAAGGCTTCCATTCAGATCAGGCCTGATGAAAAGAGCATGACTGGCAGTTGTTCTCTCACACTCTGATAAGTCAGAATGCTTTAAAATAATTTAGAGTGAAAGTAAATAATTATATTTTCTTATTTTTATTTTCTATAGTAGACACCTTGAAGAACCCTTTCAGATATGCAACCCACATTTCAGAAGTGCTTTACTTAGTAAAATCACTACTAGGAGCTGAAATCTAGGACCTGCTAAGGGCTCTTCCACCTCTACTCACATGGAATTTGCCTCTGCTTTTCCCCTTATCTTTCAAACTGGAAATAATACATCTTTTCATTTTTCTGTTCTGTTCATCATGTTTTTCACAACTCTGGGTTGTGAAGCCAGAGTTCCCATGGACATAGAATCAGAGGCACGCTTAAGATTTTATAGGTGCTTCTGAAGTTCTGGAAAATCTTTCAAAAGCTGTATAGTTTTAGCCATGCTGAATTGCTACTATCTTCAGATCTAATTCATTCCAGCAATTGATTTGCACTTTATCCACTGTGACCAGACTTCTCCCATAGGAAAATTTATGGTTCTAGCTTACTTAGAATTCTGTAATTTTTATTCCCACAGTGGCATAAAAGTGGGTCACTTTGAATCTTGTTTACAGTAGCTTCACAAACTTATTCGTTGGTTTTATCATGCAGATGGTTGCATGTAAGAAAACATATTTGTTAAATGTAAATTTTAACTGCTTGGAGTCTCTATCTCTACGTAATATCTAGCCTAATGTCACCACAGGACAACATTTATGTTTTCATTTAAAAATAAAGTAAGCAGATGGGACTTCTCGCATCCATAGAGTGGTAAATTAAAAATAAAAGTAACCATTTTTTTAATGTTGTACTCTGCTGGGATGAGAGTTTGGCATTATGACATCTGGTCTAATTTGAGTATTCCAGTAGCTGCTTTATAGCATTTACTAAAACACTGAAATGAAGCCTGCTGATATTATCTTTGCATAATCCATGTGAACATGTAAACCCCATAGAGTGAGCCTGTCCTTCCCCACTTCTCAGTAAAATAAAAAACTCCACTACAGACTTCATTGTTTTCACGGCATATATCAATAGTCACTATAGTTGAAACACTATCCTAAAAAGCTAAAATTTACCTTTGTACCCCATTGGCTTCATACAAAGTCCATTTGAGATTATATGTCAATTAATACAATGGGAAATGGAGGGGAAACAGAGATGCCAGTCTTTCAATTTGTATCTTTGAAAACTTCCTCCCAAGTAAACAGCTTTTTCTCAGTAATATTTAGCACTCTGATTTTCTGTGAATCTTCCAACCACTAGGACAAGTTATTAAGATTCCAGTGAAAATTCAAAGTGTTTCTTCTATAGGTAGAGGTCTTATGGTGCCAAGAAACTACCAATAGTAACTTAATCTTTGACCTTTAATACTAAACTATTAAAATCATCTTTATTTATCATTATTTTTATCATCTTTAACTAGACACGAAGCATAACTAGTACATGATTAAAGTTTGAGAATTCAACATACCATGCTGTAGCTATGCTATAAAATTGAAATGGCTCTTTTATCAAAATATAAAATCCAAGTAAACACACTAAATAGATAAATGCACAGATTGTGTTTCCCAGGAAATAATGCCTTTTGTTCTATTATGGAATAAAAAGGTTCTTGTTTGTAAGTCATTGACTCTAATCTAGTCAAAAATATTATCTACCAGAAACTGCTGCAGTTGCTAGTTGGTTCCAGACCAAATCTTAGACAGAAAATGTAGGCAAACTTCTCATTCAGGGGTAAAGCAATCTAGTAGATATATTCTTGGACAGACTTTGCAGAACTGAGCTCCATTCTTTGGTTGACTGCTGGCTGAACTGATGGCAAGTCATAGCTGTGCTATTTCCATAAAATGCATAAGATTCTCCATCTGTTAAAAAGGAATAAAGTTAGTTGTAGTAACACTTCTAGATGGTATTTATACGGTGCTTTGAAAAAAAAAAACCTGCTGTGGTTTGGGGGGAGGAGGGGGGGGTCTGTTCTCCAAAAAGTAGCTCATCAGACAGTGAGAGACTGTGCTTGTCTCAGCATTTGGTTTCAGTTTAGCACTGACAATCAGGAGGAACCCTCTGACCTTCTGGACATGACAGATGACTTTAGCTCCAACTCTGTACACCCCATTACCTTTTCACAAGCACCAACCATACTTAGAAAGGATGAATTCTCCTGGATTTTCAGGAAGATGCTTTTGGCAATCTATCATAGAACCACAGAATGGGTTCTATGCAGTTTGGGTTGGAAGGGACCTTAAAAACCATCTCGTTCCAACCCCCCCTGCTCTGGGTAGGGATTTCACCCGCTTCACCCAGGGCCTTGTCCAATCTGGTCTTGAACACCTCCAAGGATGGGGCAACGGCTACTTCTCAGGACAGTGTAGCCCAAATATAACTTCTTCTTCTATACTTTCATAACTTAACACTGTTACCAAACTGAGAATAAATAGATTTTTTTTCAGTAAGATTGTATTAGGGCTTCATAAGCATTTATGTTCTGCTTCTAGCTAAGGAGGATGAACAATTATACTAAGTGATATGAGAAAATAGCAAGCCATGTGTTTATTCAAAGGCTATACAATTACTTTAGTTGATATTTTTATTCTGTGACAATAATGATACCATATTTTACACAAATACGCTACTCAGTGAACATTGTGTTTACCGGTATTTAAAGGAATTGTATCAAGAGACGAAAGAGCATCTGATTCAGTCTTAGGTGTCATAAAAATTTGCTGTACAAGAAGAAATACAATGAATAAATTTACTATATCGTCTTCCTCGGGTAATCCTATATGTATAGTGACCCTGTAACTGGGGCTCTATCCAGGTGCAGGGCAACATCTAAATTTATGCAACTTTAGAATTAGGACTGAATATGGAAAAGGAACTTTTGTCCTGAATCAGCCATCACGTCTGTACTTTTATTTGCAGTAGTGAGCGTATCATGTTCAAAAGACTTTGAGTTATCTTCTTTCCAGAAGACACCTAACCGCATTCTGTATTAGTATTAGTCAAAAACAAACCTTTTTCATGAAGAATTCAGAACTAAGAATTTGATTTTCCTTTTTCCTTTCCAGGTTAGCTTTTATGGAGAACATAAAGAACTGGAATGCAAACGCAAGTGTGAACAGAGGGCCAGTTAAGGTACTCATTCAGAAACCTGAAGGATCAGCTATGTCTTAAATAACACCTCCTTCTGGGGACTTAAGGTAGGGAGAAATGCTCACCATCTTTCAGGGTTTCTTTTGAAAAAAATAAATGTAAAAATTCTTTCTTTTAAACAGATGGCTAAAAAGTAGCTGTTTCCTCTTCTCCCCTCATTTATCTCAGTAGCTAAACTACTCACTGAAGAGGTAGAGTACTTCAGTTCACAGCTTCTTCTATCCAGGGAATTGAAATTCAAATTTAAATCCTTATCTGTCTTTCTAGAGAGTGCTTCATCACCACTGTATGTTGCACCATGTGTATATCTGTACGTATGTAAGAGAGCATTTTTCTCAGTCTTTTTAGGGAAAGAGTTTATTTTGCATGACATACTAATTAGGGAGCAGGTGCACCCCTTTGCAGTCTAAGCTCATAGTTAGAACACTTTCCTGGATGGCAGGAAAAATACAGATACCCTAAAACACAGGAATTAATTCAAAACAGACCTCCTGCACTGTGCTTTGTTCTGAGGACTGGATAAAAAGATTTACCAATGATTACCACTCTTGTATTCCTCTAATACTACATTTTAGAGTTCTTGTGAAATTAAAATTGAGCATTTTGTACTGAAACAGGTTTTTTTTTCTTTATTACTAATAGAAAAAATAGAAGCTGATCTTTGCAATAGCATTCCCATATAGACTCCAGAGAGATATTTTATTGTATTTAGGGCAAGAACTAATTCAGAGAAAGGCTCTTTTGTTCACCATCTATGAATCTTGACCTTGACCTGGAAAGTCTATCCTCAGTGTTGCATGTGGGGCAATTAAGCTTCTGTGAAGAAAAACATCCCTATCATAGCAAAATATGTCAAGTGTATCAGAGCTCAAACCTCCAATCTAATTTTATTCTTTTTAAATGAGCCAAGCTGCTTAAAATTAACTTGAATGAACAGAGAACAAAAGCATTTAATAGGTCCGAGAAACTTAAGTTTCTTTACTCTGTTTTGGGTTGTTAGGATGTTTATTTGTTTGTTTGTTGTGGGGTGAGCACATTTCCAAAGACATAGATATCCAACACCAGCCATGGGGCTCAGACATTTCATTTAACTGAGCTACACTGGCCTAAGGAGTTCCTGTGCACCTCCTGAATCTTGTAGCTGTTAGTAACAGCTCATGTGCTTGCTAATAGCCTTCCCTTCTTTTGAATTAATATAAGGTAGGGAAAACCTCAGAGGAACAGGCTGTTGCATTTAACCTGGGGAGGCAGGCTGGAGTGCACATATGCACACACTGGCCCTTTATGGCAGCTCAGCTGATGGAAGTTCCTTACTACCTTTCTAGAGCCCAGTGGTTAATACACTGATCACCCATATCCTTTAACAGACTGTGGTTGGGTGAAAGGTGGGAAGCATGCCCAACCAGAGCACGTGTTGAACAAATTATGGTCAGACAGCTCAACGATTTTTTTTCACAAAGCAAAGATGCTTTAAAATTCACGGGTCCTCAAGAGGACACTAAAGGAGCATAACACAAAATCCTTGATATTCTGTTTTCTGTCAGTAGTGTCTGACCAAAGTAAAGGTTTGCATGTCTCCAAAAGCTGCAGGTAATCATTGTTTTGCTGAGATCTATACTTAAACATACTAACATTTAAATTCATTTATTGTTTCTGCTGACTCCCTAGCAGGTGCTATTTTTACTGTAAGTACATAAGGGATTGTTAGGGAACTTGGTCACTGTTATACACAGGAGTAAATCTCATTCACTTCAGGTCTCCAAAATGTTCAATCTGTTTTGCTAAATCCTCATTTTGTTATATATCCAATGCATCCAGAAGCTCTTTTTATCTTAAGTCTTTGAAAAAATGCTGAAAATGACATGTAACTCAGCTTATCATTTTCCTTGTAAAATCAATGCTTCTAGAATGCTGGATCCCAGAGTTTTGCAATTTTTCATTGATCTCATTCACCCTGTTTCCCATGAGAGCTTTTCTGAAATACTGCTATTGAGTAACATTCTTGCTAGTATGAAGGGAATAGAGAAGGAAAAACCTTTGCTGGTTGAGTAAAATGCAGAATGACACAAAACATCCAATTCAGCCTCCTTTAGGGTGTTTAAGACACAGAACTCATTTTTCTGGATGAAAAGCAGACAGTGACACTGCCAGCAGCAACTGTGTCAGCTCAGGTTCTCCCAGCAGGAGGGACATACAGGGTGGCTGGAGTGGGAAACGCAACAGATGCCACAAATGGAAGTGCTCATTTAGAGCCCATATTTTAGATAAAATGAGACGTGGGGCATATAAAACTTAACATTGACTCCTCAGAATATAACAAACACAACTGCTCACTAATGAGAAGTATAGAACAATGAGATCTATTTAAAATGGGGGTCCTAGCTTATTTTCAGAGCATCTAGATGTGGGTGAATAATGAATGGTTTAGCCACAAAACTTTTCAAGAGAAAAATTAGGGAAGAATAAAAGGGAAATGTTTTGAGCAGCAAAAAACCTTTCCCCCACTCCCAGAATACTTTAATAAATTACATAGTAATTGCATTATATGCCATTTAGTTAACCAAAATGCTTCATATCCTATTTTATATTTATCCTCATTAAAAAAGTCTATTGTATCTCTTTTTAAAGGAAAAAAAATAGAGACATTTTTTAAGAACCTAAATATCGGAAAGAGCTAAATATATATTTTAAAGAAGAAAAAAAAGTAATTTTGAAGACTCATGCACAATACAAAAATAAGTCACTTCAAGTTCAACTACATAAGCCTCTTATACTCCTTTTGATAAAATAGAAATTAATTTTAAAGACAAAATATTTTAAAATAAATGTTTCAAATATGACTGCCTTGCAGAGTTTACAATCAATTAAAATAAAATTAATCACATTTTTTCAAAGTAATTTAAGCATATTTGGATGCTCCTCAAGCCTTTAAAATAAGTGACAGATATTGATTAAGTTTAGCAGTTTCCCAGCACTTACTTGTTATTGGAATGGTTCTGTGAACAAAGCTGTTTGTGTTAACTTGGGACTAATTAATAAAGCAGTGCCTGCCATGATCTGTAGATCATCAAAACCCTGATTAGGAGGGCTACAGTGACTTTGTTTCTCTGTATATATAAAGTGATCATTTCCACTGCCTACTATAGAAACAAAAATTTACCTACAAAACCTACCTGATTCTTAAAGGAAAGGAGAATATGTGAATTGCTAGCTACAGCTAAGGAAAAGTTCTTTTTTTTTTTTTAACCTATTTTAATTTTATTTTTTTTTAGTGATTACATTCTGTCAATCTACTTATAAAGGTGACAGACACTTCATTCTTATTATATATATTATTCTCTAATAGGTTCTACCATAATACCTTTTACCTGAAGTTCAGTATATTCTCTAGATTGTTGCTCAATTAAAATGTGCTATGTCTGCTTATCTGCACTGGAAAAGTGCAGGAATCTATTTACAGCAGCAAGGCAAAAAGATATGGAAAGGTCCATGGCCCTGCATTATTGCTGGCGTACTTAGCAAACACTAGGTTACTGCTGCTTGAAGCCCAGACAGAGAACTGCAGTTGCTTGTGTTTTCTCAGGAATGCTTTTTCTCCATTCATGCCTCTTCTTTTACTTTGAACTCATACAAGCAATCAGTCTCTTAAATTCCTCAGATGTTTTATCCATAAAGCAGTTACCTGGTGGCCCTCTCGTCATCTTCATGTGAGCCTCAGGTGTGGCTTGAATATGCTACAGCTCTGCATAAGGTGAGTTACATATGGGTGAGTGGCAGAAGAGAGGTGCAAATAGCTTGAGACGGGCAATGATGAAGATTACAAACAGCACTTACATGTCATTGTTTCCATGACCTGTTTCATTTCATGAGTGGTCTGGGGTTAAAAATACTGTTCTGCCTGCTGCACAGTTTGCTTGTGATTCAGGCAGACTATGTCTGTCAGAGAGAACTATAGGCAAATACAGCTAGATTAGACGTGCCAAGGCTGACTTCCACTGGGGCATGCTTTGTACAGCTTCTTTTGTATTTAGCTCACCTGGAAAAGCTGTTGTTTCCAGACCACCAGAGTCCCAGGATGAACCTCAGCTGTGGTAACGTTTAGGATGCATGCACAGCTATTCTGGGTCCTGCATGGGAAATTCTGCTAATTGGGTAAACCCACTGTAGTGTACAGGCACCAACTGGCAGACACAACTTTCACAATGAGAGAGATCCATAATTTTCAAATGTAACTAACAATTTGTGACAATAAAGCAGCAACACGAGCCAAGATGCTGGCACTTCTTCTTGTCACCTCTTTCAAGCACGGTAACTAGAATTTGCATTTGTTTCTTTTCCAAAAGCAGTAACTTATTTTATAAAGAAGGCATTTAATGCGTACATTTTCTTTGGCACAATTTTATTTTTAAACCAAAGTCTCTGAAGAGTTTAGTCTCATCTCTTTTAAGAAAAGAACCTGAACAATATTTAATTAAAATTGTATCCAACCACAGAAATGTTATTATCCATAGGCACTGAGATCAGAATTGTCTCAAAAAGGGTAAATAACATAATTGTGATAAAGGAAGGTGAAGATGATGGAATTATACGAAATTATGAGTGACAGACACGGCAAAACAAAAATTCGTGTTTAAACTTTCTTATAGTAATAAAAGGATGGTCAGTGAATTGGAAAGGTAGTGCATTTCAAACCCACAAAAGCAAACAGTTTATTAACATACAGCCTAGCTGCCCATCGTCATTCATGATACAGCATCATGGTTACACAGACTGTAACTGACTACATCTGTGTCTCCCTTGTGCAGTGCATACCCCTGGCTATTAGCACTCCTTGGAGGGGAATGTACATTTTTTTCATTTTTAGATCACGCCCTGGGCTACGATACATAGGATATTTATCACTTTTACCCTGCAGGTTAAAATTCATACAGAAGTCACACACACAGATCACACACACAGAATCTCTAGGTTGGAAGAGACCTCAAGATCATCGAGTCCAACCTCTGACCTAACACTAACAGTCCCCACTAAACCATATCCCTAAGTTCTACATCTAAACGTCTTTTGAAGACTTCCAGGGATGGTGACTCAACCACCTCCCTGGGCAGCCTGTTCCAATGTCTAACAACCCTTTCAGTAAAGAAATTCTTCCTAACATCTAACCTAAAACTCCCCTGGCGCAACTTTAGCCCATTCCCCCTCGTCCTGTCACCAGGCACATGGGAGAACAGGCCAACCCCCACCTCACTACAGCCTCCTTTAAGGTACCTGTAGAGAGCAATAAGGTCACCCCTGAGCCTCCTTTTCTCTAGGCTGAACAAGCCCAGCTCCTTCAGCCGCTCCTCATAGGACTTGCTCTCCAGGCCCCTCACCAGCTTCGTCGCCCTTCTCTGGACCCGCTCAAGCACCTCGATGTCCTTCTTGTAGCGAGGGGCCCAGAACTGAACACAGTACTCGAGGTGCGGCCTCACCAGAGCCGAGTACAGGGGGACGATCACCTCCCCAGCCCTGCTGGTCACAGTGTTTCTGATACAAGCCAGGATGCCGTTGGCCTTCTTGGCCACCTGAGCACACTGCTGGCTCATATTCAGCCGACTGTCCACCATCACTCCCAGGTCCTTCTCTGCCTGGCAGCTCTCCAGCCATTCCTCTCCCAGCCTGTAGCTCTTCTTGGGGTTATTGCGCCCCAGGTGCAGGACCCGGCACTTGGCCTTGTTAAACTTCATACAGTTGACCTCAGCCCATCGGTGCAGCCTATCCAGATCCTCCTGCAGAGCCTTCCTACCCTCAAGCAGATCGACACACGCACCTAGCTTGGTGTCATCTGCAAACTTACTGAGGGTGCACTCAATGCCCTCATCCAGATCATTGATGAAGATGTTAAAGAGGACCGGCCCCAGCACCGAGGCCTGGGGGACGCCACTAGTGACTGGCCTCCAACTGGACTTGGCTCCATTTACCACAACTCTCTGGGCCCGGCTATCCAGCCAGTTTCTAACCCAACGAAGCGTGCGCCAGTCCAAGCCAAGAGCAGCCAGTTTCTTGAGGAGAATGCTGTGGGAAACGGTGTCAAAAGCCTTGCTGAAGTCAAGGTAGACCACATCCACAGCCTTTCCCTCGTCCACCCAGCGCGTCACTTTGTCGTAGAAGGAGATCAGGTTCGTCAAGCAGGATCTGCCTTCCATAAACCCATGCTGACTGGGCCTGATCGCCTGCTTGCCCTTCAAGTGCCGCATGATGACTCCCAAGAGGATCTGCTCCATGAGCTTCCCTGGTACTGAGGTCAAACTGACCGGCCTGTAGTTCCCCGGGTCTGCCCTCCGGCCCTTCTTGTAGATGGGCGTCACGTTTGCTAGCCGCCAGTCAGCTGGGACCTCCCCCGATAGCCAGGACTGCTGATAAATGATGGATAGGGGCTTGGCCAGCTCCTCTGCCAGTTCTCTCAGTACTCTTGGGTGGATCCCATCCGGCCCCATCGACTTGTGCACATCCAAGTGCCGTAGCAGGTCACCAACCAGTTCTTCGTGGATGGTGAGGGCCACATCCTGCTCCCCGTCCCCTTCCACCAGTTCTGGGTACTGGGTATCCAGAGAGCAACCGGTTTTACCACTAAAGACTGAGGCAAAGAAGGCATTGAGCACCTCCGCCTTTTCCTCATCTCTTGTAACTAAGTTTCCCCCCGCATCCAGTAAAGGATGGAGATTCTCCTTAGTCCTCCTTTTTGTGTTGATGTATTTATAAAAGCGTTTTTTGTTATCTTTAACGGCAGTAGCCAGCTTGAGCTCCAGAGCAGTAGCCAGCTTGAGCTCCAGAAGTCTGTGCATGGTCAATCCAGAAAAACATTTTTAGAATGAAAGTATTCTTATTTGGCACTTGGCTTTGGGCATAAATCTTTAAAGATAAAAAGAAAAAAAAAATGGAAAGAAAATTGGAGGGGAGGTGTGTAAACACTGATTTAAGCATTGGGAGGGAGCTGGTAGACCAAGTAGGGATAGCTTTTCCAGATAACCTAAATTCGTTATTCTGGTTCCCTCGTGCAAACTTCACAGAGAGCCAAGGGGCAGATGAAGAAGCATTCACCTGAGCTGGTGCTGTCGCGTGCGGCACTGTGGAGGATGCTAGTTCAAACTCTGACTGGCGAATTGCTGTGGTAGCACAGAGTTAGCTCTGAGCTGAGACCATCTGCCTCTCAGCAGCACACATTAGGCAGCCCAGCACCATGTTGATGTAAACATACTGCTTTACGTTCTGGAACCAGCTCCTGCACAGTTGTTCAGTGTACCACTGTGTGGCAAAGACTGGCCCCCCTCTCTCTTCTCTTAAAAACCTCTCTTTTAAGACTTCTTTTAAGACTTGCTTTTTTTTTTTTTTTTTTTTTTTCCCCAGTATTTTTTTGGTGGGAATCCTTAATCATTTCTTGTCAGAACAAGTTTCATAGGCTGTCTGGGAAAGGACATAGAGTCATTAAAGTTAGCAGTTCTGACGTTGTTTCTTAACAGCCCCTAAGCGTCACTTGATGGATGGCTGTCTGGAATGATATCCTCCTTCCTGCTGATGTTCCCAACCAAACCCAAGTGATACAAAATGTCTCAGAATCCCAGCAGTCATCTATTAGCAATAAATTATGACATGGCACTCCAGATTTTTTGCAGTCATCTACAATACACTAATCCTGTATAGGATTTGTAAAGGATTAGACATTATATGGATAACATGCACATCTACAGTTCTGTTAGATAAGAGAAAAAGAAACAGACCCGAGGAGTAGGATTTTGTGTTAGGGTCAGAATGAAATTTCCTCTCAGTGGATCAATAATTCAGGGCAGAGCAATGGACTAGGTGACCTCTTTAAAGTCCTTTCAGGTTTAGGGTTTTGCCCATTCCCTTTTTTACTCCCCCTGACGTTTTGTTAATAAATAGGTTTTTGAAATTTCTGTGAAACATCTGTTAGCATCCACAGCCAAAAGAAGTGTGATGGAGAAGCTAAACTATAGGCCTGCTCAGCTAAAACAATTCCTATGGGGTTTTTGGCCATTATAATAAAACAAAGAAGTGGAGAAGTCATTTGGAAACTTACTTTACACCAAGAAAAGAGTTAATTTAAAAAACACAACTTGAATTTTATGAGGATAATTCATATCAAATATTATATAGGCAGAAGCTGCTCTATTTCATTCAGCTTCTGGAGAAAAATAATTATGCTCTTTACAATTTGAAGTGCATTTGTATTCCTTCCAAACAGTCCTATTACAACAAATGAAGTAGTTACTATACATCTTTTTCCTGCTACTTTTCAACTTAAATTTAATTTTCACATAGATTTATTTAAAACAATTCTCAATGTGACTCAGCCAAATGATGAATTTATGGAAGGCTTAGTAAATGTGTAATCTAGTTGAAGTTAAAAATTGCTACTTTGTAATTCCGTGCCTAAATGAAATTATCCATTGCAGCCAGCTATTGTGCATCCGTTTACAGCCTATTCCTTGTGGTACAAATTCAGTCTATAACTGAAAGAAAACATAATGCAAATGTTCTGCAAACAAAAAAATGTATATATACATATGTAATATTAGTATTAAGCAAATGTTTTAATTTCTTTTTTCTGTTCTCTGAGCCTGCACTGGCAGATATGTGTGTATAAATTTTGTATATGCAGAGAATACATTGTACATATTCATGGTCCTATTTTTTGCATATAATAAATGACTGTCTCTGTCCAAAAATAAATAGAGTCTGAATTTAAGAAAAAAGTTAAATCAAATCAATGTTGCAAAGCATAAAAATATTTGCAATGTGATCTCACTGCACAAAAGGTTTGTGACTTGTATCGATAATAGAGCAGACTGTGCATGAACTTTGCTTCAGGCAAATTGTGAGACTGCTTTTTGCTTCATTGTTGGCACAAAATCAGCACTTATGCCAGACTCAGGTCTAAAATCAGCCTATATCTGATAAAGAGTATGGTGTAATCAGCCTGACTGAGCTTGCATTTAGCAGGAGATATGTATGAGTTTACCATTTTTAAAGAGCAGGCCCCAGTATTTTCTGAGAGAGGATGTGTCACTGAGGTTTCAGATGGATGCCCAGCATGGAAAGACACTCAGCTCTTAATTAACTGCTCTTTAATCAGCAATTTTGACTTAGAAGTCATACTAAGTTTGATTAGGATAAAGTTCATTGCTTCTACACAAATATATTAAAATCAAGCCAGTAAATTCTCTGTTCATGTCACCACAACTATGTACCAACTATGTACACGTTGTTTAATCCAAAACCCAGTGCATAAAATTTGTGGAGAAGCTTCAGAGTATTTCTTACTGCAGTAGTGCTTCATGCTATTTATTCTGTAATGTCCTGATTCAGGTAGTGGGATTTCCATTACTCTCCTTGCAAGAATTAGTGGAAACATGGAAAGACTTAATTCCACATCCACAGAGATTACCAGGCTCCCAAAGTCAGAATGCATTCCAGATTGCATTATAGCCCATACAACATGCAAATTAGACTTCAGTTGTATAAATTACTGAGAGTGAGACTACTTTATTCTTTCTTTCAACAAGACTAAAAAAATCACAAACCGTTTCATCTTCTTTTCCCACTATTTTCATTTTTGATGTTAAAAGGTTGACAGCTGCACACTACGGAGATAGGCTTACAGCGAAATTACGACAAGCTAAATGAGTGAACATGCCAGCTCTTTTGAGGTAACTGTCTCTGAGAATGCTTTTAACCCACAGCACCTCACGGCAGAGGCAGTAGAGCTTATCCATCTTCCGCTGAGGGGTCACCTAACTTGTGTGTGTTTCAGGGAAGACGCCGAAGCCTGTCAGTTACCACAGAGTGTTTAACTCCATGTAAGCTCATACCCTACATTACCCTGTAATAACTTCTTCATGACTGTGATGTTACTCTTTGATACAGGATTAATGAAGTGCAGCAAATACTCAGCTATTGATTATAAGGACCCATTTTTCATTGTTAGTATCTCCTGCCTACTATT